TGTCTGTTCTGTGTTGGTGCTTGCTGGCATGCTCTCACATTGGGGGCCTTATCAGAGCAATTATTTCCAGGAGTGGTTCCTTAGGGGTGTCTGTATTTAAGCACCAGCTGGACGACAGGTTCCCCACTGCAGCCGTAGGCCAGTGGCAAAGCCTGTGTGCTCTTCTCCTAGGAGGGTTGTGTGGCTCTTATGCAAAGTGGCTTACATTTCAGGAGATGCTTCTGGTGCCCAGGGAAGGAAGTGGGAGCCGGGAGGATGGAGATAAATCTGCCTCTTCGGCCTGAGGGCCAGAAGGACGCCCTAGAGTAGTGTGTGTGTGGCTTTGCCTTGCGGTTGGGACTCTCCTGTCAGCAGTGAGGGGTCACACATCTAGTGTGTGCTCCGAGGTCGCAAGTGCTCTTTCTCTGTGGGGCCTTGTCCTTCTAGAGGAGGCAGCCAGAAAGCAGAGTCACCGTGATGCCACCTGGGATGGCCTCTTGCAGGAGGTGGGGACTGGGCAGGACAGGGTTGTGGTCCTGAGACTCTTTGGCTGTTCCTTCCCTTTCCCATGCCATGATGTAGTTGAGAGCAGACCAGGCTGGGTTGCTGCCCTCCCCGCTCCCACCTGCCTCCTCCTTTTCTCCCTTCGCCCCTCCCTCTATCTCTCTCTCCCCTCTCTCCCTATCTCCCCCTCCCTCTTTCTGTCTGTCTTTCTCTGGCACTTTATCCCCCTCTCTCCACTGAGACCACTAGTCCTTTTACTTGGTAAATTTCTTTAAAAAAAAAAAGTTTAAATTGTTTATTTTGAAATAGTGATAGATTCATAGGAAGTTACAAAGATAGTGTCCCCTAAAGGGTGCAGATGACATAGTCATAGTGCCGCATCCAAACCAGGAGGCTGACCTTGGTCCAGGGCATGTGTTCTGTGTCGTTTTATCACTGTGTGGGCTTGTGTGTTTGCAGTCAAGGTACAGAAGCAGCCCACCCCCCACCACAAAGTTCTCCCGCACGCTGCCCCTTTATAACCATGCCTGCCCCTCCCAGCCCCGCCGTCCCTCATCCTTGGCAACCACTGATGTGTTTTCCGTCTCTGTAGCGTTGTCATCTTGAGACCACGAGGGAAATGGAATCACACGGTGTAGGGGCTTTTCTCACTCAGCAGTAAGCCCCTGAGAGCCATCTACGTGGTGTGTGCGCGGCAGTCTGTTCCTTTTTATCACTGAGTGGCATTCCGTGACATGGCTGTGCCACAGTTTGTTTACCCATTCACCTACTGAGAGAAGTTTTGGTTTCCAGTTTGGGGCTATTACGTATAAAGCCCACGTGGCCAGTCAGGTACAGGTTTTTGTGCGGACATAAGTTTGCATTTCTTTGGAATAAATGTCAGGAGTACAGTTGCTGGGTTGTATCGTGTGTGTTTAATTTTTAAAGACAAGCATGTCTACTCTTGTCACTTGTCTTTAACATTGTACTGGAGGTTTTACACAGGGCAGTTAGTCAAGAAGAATAAAGGCATCCAGATTGGAAAGGAAGAAGTAAAACTGTCACTATCTGCAGACACTGTGATCTTGTGTATAGAATATTCTAAGGAATCCACTAAAAAACTCTTAGGACTGATCAGTGAGTTCATCAGCACTGCAGGATACACGATCGATACACAAAACTCAACTTTGTTTCTGTATACTTGCAATGAATAACCTAAAAATGAAATTAAGGGAAGAGTTATGTTTACAGTAGAATCAAAAAGAATAAAATACTTAGGAATAAACGTAACAAAAGAAGTGCAAAACTAATAATCTGAAGAGTATAAAATGTTGTTCCAAGGAAATAAGGATTCAAATGAATGGGAAAATCTACTGTGTTGATGGGTCAGAAGGTTTAACGGTGTTAAGATGTCCATACTCCTCAAACTGATCTGCAGGTCATCGCAGTCCCTATTGGAATTCCAGCTGGTTCCTTTGCAGAATCCGACAAGCTGATTCTAATCCCTGATTCATATGTAATTTCAAGGGACCCAAAATAGCCAAAACAATCTTGAGAAAGAACATAGGAGGAGCATCCACAGTTCCTAATTTAAAAACTTACTACAAAGCAACAGTAGTCAAGACATTGGACTAGAAGATAGTCCAGGGATGGACTGATGTGTCTGTGGTCCGCGGACGGTGACGAGGGCGCCAAGACCATCCAGTGGGGGAAACAATAATCTCTTTATTTTTTTTTTTTTAAGGTTTTATTTATTTATTTGAGAGAGAATGAGAGATAGAGAGCACGAGAGGGAAGAGGGTCAGAGGGAGAAGCAGACTCCCCGCTGAGCAGGGAGCCCGATGTGGGACTCGATCCCGGGACTCCAGGATCATGACCTGAGCCGAAGGCAGTCGCTTAACCAACTGAGCCACCCAGGCGCCCGAAACAATAATCTCTTTAATAAGTGGTGCTGGCACAATGGGACATCCACATGCCGAAGAGTGGGCCGGGCCCTCACCTGGCACCACATACAAAAATCAACTCAAAATGGGGTAAGTGACCTAAATGCAAGAGCTAAAAATCTAAAACCCTCAGAAGAAAACAGGCCAGTCAATCTTCATGACCCTGAATTTGACTAAGGATTTTTATATATGATACCAAAAACGTGAACAGCTAGAAAAAAAAAGATAGATACATTTGACTTCAGAATGTAAGACTTTTGTGACAGCATCAAGGTGAACAGACAACCCACAGGATGGGCGAAGGAATTCGCGAATCGTGTATCTGGCAAGGGACTTGTATCCAGAGTAAATAAGGAACTCTTACAACCCAACAGTGAAAGACAACCCAATTTAAAAACGGGCAGAAATAGACATTTCTGCAGGGAAGATATTCAGATGGCAAACAAGCACATGGAAAGATGCTTGATATCATTCGTCATCCAGGAAATGCAAATCACACCCACAGTGAGGCATCCCCTCACACCCGCTGGGCTAGTTACATGCTGGTGAGCAGCACGTGGAGGAACCGGAACGCTTGCCTGTTGCTGGAGGGTGTGAAGTGTGCAGCTGCCGTGGGGGACAGGCTGGTGGCCCCCCCGATGAGTCAACAGAATCAGCTGCAACCCTGCAGTCCCACTCCTAGTGCACACCCCAGAGAAACGAAAGCACACGTCCACACGAAGACTTGCGCATGATTTATAGAAGCTTTATTCACGATGGCCCAAAGGTGGAACCCCAAATAGTGTCCCCTGAGAGACAAACGGGTGAACAAAGTGTGGTGCATTCGCACGGTGGAATATATAACCTTTGCCCATCTTTTCACAAACTAGGCAGCACGGGGTTGTACCTTTTGGGTGGGTGAGTTGTGAGGGGTGGGGACCCCATCTCAATCAAGTGGTTTTTTCCCAAACAGAGAAATGGACTGTGTTCCAGAGTGGCGGCACCTGTCCCATGTCCCGCTTCAGGCCGTGTGGCTGTCTTCTGTCCCAGCCACCCTGGTGGGTGTGCAGGGCTGTCTCGGTGTGGCTGCCTTTCCCTGGGCTAGTCGGCCATCCGTCTGTCCTCTCTGGGCAGGTGTCTCTTTGTCCGTTTGTCTGTCTTCTCATTGGAGCTTTTAACTGCTGAGTTTTGGGTTTTTCTCATGATGTGTTCTGGATACGAGTATTTTGTGAGGTGTGTGGTGTGTGGGCATTTCCTCCTCCTCTGTCGCTTGTCTTTGCGTCCCCGGAACAGGCTCTTTGACGGAGCAGAAGTTTCCCATTTTGATGAAGCCCACGTTGTCCGTGCTTCCTTCCATGCTCGTGCTCTCCAGGTGAACTCTGGAAACTTCTCACCAAGTCCTTGGCCTGGAAGAGTTTCTCTGCAGCCTCCTGCACCAGCGGATGTGATCATGGGATTATTTTTCTTTAGCCCATCAAGGGCGGATGATACTGGTTGATTCTTGAGCATTGAACAGCCTCGTCCCTGGAACGGCCCCACTGGGGTGTGGGGCATCATTCAGACTCTGGTTCCACTGGGTCCTCAGTGCTTGCTCGGCCATGAGCAGGGGTGTGTGGGGAGGCTTCCTGGGGGGCAGCACCGTGGCGGGGAGACCCAGAGGGAGTTCTAGAAGGAAGCCCAAGGATGTGGGAGGTTTCGTTTGGGGAAGAGAAGGGCAGCCACTCGCTTGGATGCTGTCCTCTCCATATCCGACCCCGCACCACTTGCGGGGCGGGTACCCAGGCGCAGGCCCAGGGGGACGGCTCACTGGTATCTGGGCAAGGACTGGGGCCCAGGGCATCCCTGAGGTTGGGCAGTTCCAGAAGCGAGGAGGTGCTGGACGTGCAAGAAGAGCCCGTTCTCACGGCCGGCAGCTCCGTGTCATCCCATGGCGGCCCTCAAAGACTGCTCGCTTTTCTGTCGGTCCCCCTTCTGGTGGCAGATGTGAGTGACATCAGTCGCTTCCTCAGCGCGTTCCACAAGCCGCACGCGGGGCTCATCCAGGCCGCCCAGCAGCTGCTCTCCGACGAGCAGGCTCCGCTGCGGCAGAAGCTGCTGGCCGACCTCCTGCACACCATCAGCGAGAACATCGCGGCTGAGACCAGGGCCGAGGACCCGCCGTGGTTCGAAGGTAGCTAGGGGGCTGGGGGCGGGAGGGCTGGCTCAGAGCCGGCCTCGCAGGGGGGACCTGACCCCGCTGCAGTTCCCCGGGCCAGGCCTTGCCTGGCTACTCTGCTCTCGCAGCCCTGGGGCTGGCCTTTTTATTTCTGAACTGTGGAAAAGTGGACGTAACATAAAATTTTCCATTTTAATGTGTAAGTGCATAGTTTAATGGGGTTGAGCATCTCCAGAACTTTCTCAGGTTCCTCAACTGAAACCGTGGCCTGTTAGACACCAGCCCCCACGTCCGCTCTGCAGCCCCTGGCGCCCGCGCTTGCTCGCCCGGCCTCTGATCTGACTCCCATAGGGCCTCACTTGCGATCACACAGGGTGTGTCCCGAGCCTGGCCGGTTTCACTCCGCACCGTGCCCTCGCGGGCCACGTGTGCCGTCCCGTGTGTCACAGCCTCCTTCCTTCTTCAGGCTGGCTCACATTCTCCTGTGTGGCTGGACCACATTTGCTTGTCTATCACCTGGCCACGGACACGTGGTCCGTCCACCTCGGGGCTGGCCTTTAAGCCGGTTGGAGCAGCTCCGTGGATGAGGGGGCTGGGGGGGCAGGAGCAGAGGCCCTCGGTGGCCTCTAGATGCCTATGCGGGGGGCCAGGGGACCATCTCCAGGCAGAGAGAACCGGAGCCTGCGAGCAGGACACTGCACGTTTCTCAGGTGAGGCCGGCGGTGTGCCCAGCCTGTGGCCGCGGACACCAGAAGGCCCTTGTCTGTTCCTGGCAGGTTTGGAGTCTCGATTCACGAGTAAGTCTGGGTACCTGAGGTATAGCTGCGAGAGCCGGATCCGGAGCTACCTGAGAGAGGTCGGTGCGCGGGCGTGCGGGCAGAGGGGTGGAGGCCGTGGAGCCCGCCCGACTGAGGGTTTTGGGACATCACGCGCCAGCGTTCAGCCATGGCCCTTGGTTTCTTCCAGGTGAACTCTTACGCCTCCGTGGTCAGCGTGGAGGCTCAGGAGGAGTATTCCCGCATCGTGGACATCATGTGCCGGGAGCTCAGGGCGGCGCAGTACAACGGCAGCTACTTCGACAGAGGCGCCAAGGCAGGTGGCCGGCTCTGCACGCCCGAAGGCTGGTTCTGCTGCCAGGTGCGCCATGGGTCCCAGGGCCACCCAGGCGGCTGCTGAGCCAGCCCTCCCGTGGCTTCCCTCGGGGTGTCGGTGTGAGGGAAGGGTCAGCTCAGCCCGTGGTTCTCTGACTGCAGTGGAATTGGAACCCCCTTCCCCACCCGACGGTCGATATAAGACGCCCTGCTTCCCGGCCCCCAGCTGCTGGTTCAGCAGCCCTTCTGACAGCGTCCCTAGTGGCGCTGCTGGTCCGGGCCCTCCTCTGAGAACCGCTGATGTGGTGGGAGTGCCGGTTGCCCCGGGAGTGGAGGCCTCCCCTTGGCTCCTGCTGGGGGGGGGGATGGGCAGATAAGAGAAGGACAGTTTCACAGCTGCTGAAACGTGCCCCCTGGGGAAGCTTTCTGGATGGCGGCTCAGATTTCAGGATTTGTGGCCAGATGTGACCGGGTGGGGTCGCAGTGGCCGGGAGCAGCGTTCTGGACCTCCCCCCGGGCACTCGGAGAAATTACAGAGGCACCACTGTCCAACAGGGGCTACCGACCGGGGTCACGAGTCACGGGGCTTGGAGCTGGTGGCCTTTGCAAGGACGGGCAGGGGCTGTTCTGCTGCGCATGCCTCCTTCCTGGTCCCCTGGGCTCCGGCGAGTACCTGGGCCCCTTTGCATTTTCCGGTAAAATCTCCTCCCCCCACTGGTGGCCTGAGGGTACAGACCCTGGAGGCCGGCACGGCCTCCCTCCCACAGACGGGCTCCCAGTGCTTTTGCCTGGGCAGTTCCTTCCGTGGGTGATGGGCCCTGACCAGCAGAACACTGCTCCTTCCCAACCAACTGCACGTTAGCCTCTGAATGACCTCATGGCACTCTCCATGAGCGTCGCCTGAGCCCAGGTGTTTCACAGCGGAGGAGCAAAGACAAAAAGATTTCACCTGACATCATCGGGAGGCTCGAGGCCCGAGGCCTGTAAGCGAGTGAGGGCAGTGGGCTTGGAGCTGGGAGGCTGTGCAGGCCCTTGGGGAACAGGCCAGTCCTGGGTGGGGTGGGCGGGGGGCTTCAAGGAGGAGGTGACGCCTTAGAACAGTGTGGTGGGAGTGGACAAGTGACCCCGCGAGGGCACGAGGGTGGGGAAGTGGGGGCAGTGGGCTCTGTTGGGGAGCTGCGAGCCTTGGGGTGTCTGGAACACAGGACAGTGGGTGGGGGCCACAGCACGTGGCGTGTGCTCAGCAGACGTTTGTGAGGGAGTGACTGAAGGCGTGGCATGGCCAGGAATGCCGACCGCAGAAAAACCAAAGCCAGGCAGTCCAGACTATTTGATGTCTCTGATGCCCAGCCTCTGCGTTGGGATTGTAGGGAAATACCGGGAAGGCACGTGGAGCAGATAGGGAGCAGCCAGCATGTGGGCGCTGGCCGTGGGCCTTCATTCCCCACGAGGGCGGGTGATGGTGTGTGCTCGCAGGGCTGGACACAGTGGGTCTGTCGGGGTGTGGAGACCCAGGAGGCGCACGGTCGGGAAGCTGGCTTTCCTAACAATAGCAGGAGCTAGCTTGTCCCCGTGGCCAATGCGGGGTATCATACTGGGGGTCCCGAGGGAAAAGGGGGGGGACCATTCCAAAGACAGAATTCCTAATAGCCCCAAACAGGCTGAATCCCCTACTGGGCGGGACCTCCTTCTCAGCTCCTCTAACTTGACATGAGACCAGTGGGTAAGAAGTGGGCTCACTTTGTGGACCTCATTCTCCTTTGACCTAGGGTCCTTTTGACGTGGACACCTGCGCATCCAAACACTCCATCAACCCCTACGGTAACAGGGAGAGCCGGGTCCTCTTCAGCACGTGGAACCTGGACCACATGTGAGTACGGGTTCCAGAGAGGTCAGGACTGTTGTTGAGAACTAAGTTCACAGACCCAAAGAGCAGCTGCTGGGGCCTGTGCCGTGGCATCCGTGGCATCCGTGGCATCCGTGGCTGGCTGGCTGCCTTGTGTTTCCTGTGCTGAGCTCGTGGATTATGGACTCAACCATGTTCTGAGTGTGTAGGGTATAGGTGGGGTGCCAGATGCGCACTCCTAACCTGTGTGGTTAGGTGTCCTTCACCGTGGCGGGCTCTGACAGGAGCTGGTCCAGACCCCTGTCCACACCCATGTGACCTGGGCATGCCCCCTCTATCCCACCCAGCTCCCATCTGTGGGGCCCAGTGGGCGCACTCAGTGGGGTGGGAGGGGGGTCTCCTTCCTCAACCAGGATGAGCTCAGAGCAGGAGCTCTGATTCAGTGTGTAGGGCATTTCCTGCTTTCACCCGGATGAGTGAAGGCCAGCAGGATTGTTTTTCTATGTGTACAAGCTCATTTTAAGAAACGGCAGAAATAAAATTGTGTTATCTTAATGGAGACGCTTTCCTGGAATATAATGACGTCCCTGTCTCTGCTTTATGAAGACAGAGGTCTTCCAATGCCCTTCAAGTGGCCATACTGCTTTTGGGAATCAGATGGTACTGAGCACATACAGGACGTTACGGGGACAGTCGAGGCTGCCGTCCCACCCCTTCTGGATCCATTCCCTTCCGCCCACAGGAACTGTTCCTCTGAGGTTTGTGCGTTTCCTTCTGATAGGTATCAGGCTCCAAGCCTTTCCCCGGGAGGTCTGAGTTTGAGAACAGACGGAACAGGGTCACATGTGGTGATGCCACACCGTGCTTCGCCATCCTACGTTATGCTTACGGGGATGAGCTTTGGGACATTTGTGAGTGCTTCACTCTGTGAATAGAATGTCTCGGGAACCTGCATTTCTGTACTGGTAGGCGTGTCTGGTCTAAGTTTCCACTGTTTACAGAACAGCCTGGGGTGAGCATGGTCTTCGGTTCTGGGCCATGTTGGTGTGGTCTGTGGGCTGGCAGCTGCATCGGCATCTGCGGCCTGGTCAGGAAGGCAGATTCTCGGGCCCCGCCGGCCATTACCTGGGTGCCGGGGAGGGGGGCGCACCTCCAGGGTACTAGGACGGTCTTGGTGCCTGAGCCGCAGAGCGAGCTCCCCTTTAGGGAGGGCGCAGGGTCTCACCCCTTCTGACGGGCACCGAGCACCCCAAGATGACCTCTGGCTCTCCAGCTCATCGTCTGCTACTTTCCGTGACTCACTGGGGTGTGGGGACATGGATCGAGGGGTGGGTCCCAGCTTTAAAGGGCGGGACAGGCCAGCCTGGAGCAGAGTGCAGACGAGGCAGCAGAAGTGGAGTACCCGTGGCTTCAGTCATATTTCTCTCTGTAAACATGGCACTGACACCTTCCAGCAACCCGGCCGACTTCTCTGCGCATCTGACCTCCGGCCTCCTTTCTGATTTCAGACGCGTGGCTTCCGTGCGGGTCTGTGGGCACTCTGTGCTCTTCCGTCTTGGAAGACGTCCCTGTAGCCTGGACTCTCGCATGCTTGTTTGGGGCGTCAGGGGTCCCCCTTCAGAACCTGGAAGGTGGGACAGCAGGGTGTCCGGGCGTCGGCTGCTTTCTGCCTCTTCGCTGGCCGCTTTCGAGCGGCTCTCTCTCCGGGAGCATGGAGCGTGTGCGGGTGCAGATCTTGCCTTCACGTTCTGACTGGGACTTGTCTTCCTTGTTCTGAGACAACTGCCTCCAGGATTTTGAAGACTCCTAAGCATTTATTAGTCACAACTTCTCAGATTCTTCCTGTCCGGCTCTTCTGGAACTCTCCGCGGCTGCGTGCTGGGCCTTCTCATGATGGCTCCCCCGGGCTGCGTCGGCTCAGACTGCAGATCTGCTGGGGTGTCCCTGGCCACATCCGGCCACGTCCGGCCACGGGCTGAGCTGTGGCCCCGCGTTCGTACGTTGAAGCCCTGATGGCCAGTGTGACTGTGTCTGGGGATGGGTCTCCAGGGTGGCTGTGGGGAGGGCAGGCCTGACCTGACAGACTGTCCTGTGAGGAAAGAGGCCGCCTCTCTGAGCCAGGGATTCTCAGCTCGCCCCAGCCGGCCCCCCAGCCCCCGAACTTGGGGAAATGACGTCTGTTGCTTGGACCCCCAGAGCGTGGTGTCTGTGATGCGCCCGGGCCGCCTGGGACGCTTGCCTGTCATTCATTCACTTGTTCCCTCTGCAGCTGGGGCGCCTCCCGTCTGTCCACCGAGTCCATATTTCCTTCCTGGAAGTGCTTCTGCGTTCTTTGTAAAACAAGCCTTTCCATACCAATCTGTTTCCAATATATTTTTTATTTATTTTTATTTTATTTTTTATTTTTTTAAAGATTTTATTTTTAAGTAATTTCTACACCCAGCGGGGGGCTTGAACTCACAACCCCAAGACCAAGAGTCGCATGCCCTTCTGACCAAGCCAGCCTTTTTCATTATTATTTCTGTTTTAAATCACTTTATTCATTTCAAGCATATTTGTTTTATGGCTGTAAGGACTTGAGCTGTGTCCAAAGAGAGGTGTGGCCTCGGCCCCTGACCCCTGGGAGGTCACCTCGAAGCCCTCGGAATGTCCCACCTGTCAGGGTCCTTGCTCCCCTGAGGGCCGTGGTTCGCTATGCGGTCTAGCAGTGTGAGTGGGGTGCAGGCTGTGGGTCCCGTGGGGGCCGGAGATGAGGTTCCTCTTCGGGTGGCCAGCCAGCCCATGTGTCCGAGTCCTGACAGACTGGACACCGAAGCCTGGGGAAGCTTCCCTGCCTGGCGCCACCCCACGCGTGTGCTCACCTCCACTGCTGAAGGGGGTCTGTGCCCTCCGTGGGGAGAGGGTGGCGGGAGCTCTGCATCCGGAACTTTCCTGGACTCTACCCCGGGAGTCCCTTCCCTTGGCTGATTTTAATTTGCATCCTCTCATGATTATAAACCACTGCTGTGAGTGTAACAGTGTCCAGGGGCTTCTGAGCCTGTTGAGCAAACTCTCAAACCTGTGGGTGGTCTTGGGGAGCCCTGGACTTTACAGTTGGCGTCAGAAGAAGGGGTGGTCTCCGGGAGCCCTGGACTTTACAGTTGGCGTCAGAAGAAGGGGTGGTCTCGGGGAGCCCTGGACTTTACAGTTGGCGTTGGAAGAGGTCTCAGGGAGCCCTGGACTTTACAGTTGGCGTCGGAAGAAGGGGTGGTCTTGGGGAGCCCTGGGCTTTACAGTTGGCGTCGGAAGGAGGGGTGTTCTCGGGGAGCCCTGGACTTTACAGTTGGTGTTGGAAGAGGTCTCAGGGAGCCCTCCCTAGCTCTTGGCAGTCTGCCTCAGAGGCTGTAGCCCGGGTCCTTCTCGGGGGTCCTTGCCCGTTGCCGTGTACTCCTGGTGACGTTGGTGTGTCTGGATTCCGAGTTCATCCTCAGCGGGATTGTTTTCTTTCCTTTTTTTTAAAAGATTTTATTTATTTATTGGAGTGATACAGAGAGAGAGCTAGAGAGCACAAGTGAGGGAGAAGGAGAAGCAGGCTTCCCACAGAGCAGGGAGCCCGATGCGGGGCTCGATCCCAGGATCCTGGGATCATGACCCTAGCTGAAGGCAGACGCTTAATGACTGAGCCCCCGAGGCGCCCCGTGGGATTGTTTTCTGTGGACGTCCTGTGTGTGCTGGCTTGTCCTTCCCCACAGAGTGGTTTTGCATTTGTTTCTGCCGGACACGCAGGGCTTTCAGTGGCTCTGAAACAACTGAGTATTAATTTCTTGCTTGGCTCCCACATGTGTGGCAGCGGGAGGTTGGACTGTGTGTCTGTGAACAGTGAGCTGAGGGTCCTGGCTTTCTGGGTGACAGTGGAAATGGTCATGCTGTTGGTGCTGCCCGAATCATACCTCCCGCTACCTGCACCGTGTGTGTCCTCCCGACCCCTCCCGTCACTGAATAAGGCTCGGCCACGTGGCTCCAGCAGACTGGATACCGGCGGAGGCCTGACACGTGCTTGGACACTGGGGCCTGTTCTCTGGGCGCTGCCATCCCCAGGGAGGGGCCTAACCTGGCTCCTTGGGGAGAAAGCCTGGCCCCCAGTTAGCCCTCTCAGCCACAGGAGTGGGTCAGGGTCAGCAGGAGCCTTGCCACACCGACCCCCACAAACCACTGTTCTTGGCATGCAGCAGTAGGTAGCCGATGGGGTGGCTTTTTCTCCCTCCCCAGAGCCCGGGGCTCCCTGCCACTTCCCTTCCCACACTAATGGCTGCAGTGGGGTCTCCGTCCTACCTCCCCGGCTCTCCCCTTGGGCCCCTTTCTGGACCACAGCCCTAGTGGGCTGCAGGAGGGGGGCTCACCCCTGCAGATCAAGCATGGACATCTCTGTTTCTGGCAGGGGGGAGCCCCTTCTTTCTTGTGATCTCAAGTATGTACTTCTTTTCCCTTTTATTCAGCATTTCTCTGTGCTGTGGGGACATGAGTCTGTGTGCCTTGGTCCTCCAGCTGTGGTACTTCTGATTCCTTCTTGTCGGTCTGCAAGCTTCCATCCCCATTAGTACACGGGCTTTGAATGGTTTATAAGTGAAACAGGCTTACACAAAGCAGTATGGATGCACACAAGCATGAGGCTAGGTTGGAAAGACAGACGTCAGCCCTCACCACGACACTCTCCAGGGAGGACGAGGGGGAAGGCTTTATTTCTGGGGTTCTGCTGAGGAGGGACTGAGGACACCGGGCTCCACCCCTTTCCTTCTGCGTACTTCCCAGGACTTAAAGATGTGCACAGCCCCAGCCATCCTACGGGAGACAAGCCAAGTTGCTTGTACCAGGCCGGGCTGGCAGGCGTGGCCGTGTGCGGTGATGCCCCCGAGAAGGACTGTCACCCAGTCTTCCTCCTGCCGACAGCAAGATGCTGCTCCTTTGGGGTGTTTCCAAGTGCGGCTCCTTTTGAAGTGTGAACCATTGTGCTCGTGTCTTTTCCTGTAAGCCCCCACGTCGGTTCATGGCTCAGCTGCAGCGGCCGAGCGGAAGCCGTATGGAATGTCTCTGTGCTGTCGCAGCAGGCGTCCTGGCAGGTGCCGCGGGACGGCGATGGCGCACAGTGACCGGCTTTCACTTCCTTTGCAGAATAGAAAAGAAGCGCACGGTGGTCCCTGCACTGGCTGAAGCTGTTACAGAGCGAGACGGCAGAGAAGTGGCCTGGGAGTATTTTTACAGCCTGCTCTTCACCTCGGAGAACCTGAAGTTGGTCCACATTGCCTGCCATAAGAAAACCACCCACAAGCTCAGCTGTGACCCACGCAGGATCTACAAACCGCAGACGAAGCCGAAGAGGCGGCGGCCGGCCCGCAAGTGCCGGTGACGGGCCGCACGTGCCTCCTCCCCTGGGTGTGTGGGATTCCAGTGGCTGTTATCGATGGCTCCTGGAAACACTTCAGAGGTCCTCACTACATTTCTGAATTGGCCTTTGCACCTCCGAGAGCCCAAGCGCCAGGGGACCAGTTTGGTGCACGGCCAGGACGCGTGTGGGTCTGCAGGGACAAGGTCCTGTCCTCAGCTCAGGGGCCCCTCCTGACACGGCGTCAGGCCAGACGTGGCTGCACTGGCCGGAGGGACAAGTAGTCTATGTCAGCTCTCGGCTGGGTCTCCACTCCCACGACAAATGCAGAGCTCTATCCTCTGGGCTTTTCTGATTGCTCCCAAGAGTTGCAGCCCATTTGGGGTAAAACGTTTGTATTCCATAAAGCACGTGCAAGGACACGCGCTGCTGTGTCGTTTATGATGGCAGAGAGTGGGAGACCCTCCACGTGTGTGTCTGTGGGGGAAGGGCTCTCTGTGGTCTTATGCTGAACCACAGGAAATTGCTGTTCTTGTAAATCAGAAATGGTCAGACGTCACGATTCAGTCCTAGCCATCGACATTATGTGAAGCTGTGTAGCACTTTTGTGTGTTTCTGTATGGAACGGGGGGCTGTGCGTCAGGTGCACAAGGCGGTCAGTGGCTTCACCACTTGAGTGTGACCTGCTGGTTTTATAACTGCCTGTGCGTGTGTCACACGTGCGTGTTAGTGCACGCGGGACAGTCTGCGAGGAAACATGCCATCTGGACAGCAATAACCCTGGGGCCGTGGTGGGGGTGCACTGGATTATAAAGGGCTAATTTTCCAAATCATGTATTTCATAAAACTTGAAGTTTTTGAAATAAGCACTTATTTCATAATCTTTTAAAATTTACTTTTTAAAGTCCTACAGATTGTAATATTTGAATTTTTACTTTTGTATAATCGTAAAAACCAATAAAGATTTTTCAGAAGTAGACGTGTCAAAAGTTTGCTGGGAATCATAATAAGGACAAAAATAAAGGGTCAGTGATTTTTAAAAAATGACGCAAATCATTCCATTTTCTTCACTGAAATAGCGATGTCTTAGGATGAGCCAGTCCTGCATATGGGACCTTAGCACGTGGTGTTCACCTGGCCCCGCGGGAAGCGCACCAGTGGGGGGGGGGGGGTCAGGACGCGAGCCCGATACAGTGTCTGCTGAGCTGTCCTGCGGACCGTCCTCCAGTCCAGCAGCAGGGCAGGGGCCGCCCACCCGGCTGGGCTCTGAGATCTGATCTGCTAGGACTTCTGCTGCCTCCCCCACTGCCCTCTGCTCCTGAGCGAGCTCCTGCTCACCTTTCTGACAGGCACTTACATCCCCTCGGGATGCAGGACGCGGAAATCCAGTCTGACTTGAGCAAGAGCTGCGAGGCTCTCCTGGCTGTGATGCGGTTGAGTTTACTTGTTTCAGGGCCCTTGGCCTGGGTGCTGGGTGACTGTTACAGACGGGAGGGGGTCACCAGGCAGTTATACCCCCCTCAGACTCCCAGGACAGAGTTGGTGGCACAACCTCTTTGCAAAATAGGGGTTCGCAGTCTGTCTTCAACAAAAGAAGGGAGGAAAAATCTAGGAGCTGGGAGTGTAGGGTCTGGTGATCTGCAGGTGCAGAACTGCCGTGACATCTGGGCATGAGGTCCCTCGTACTGGCAGGCCCTCCACTTGCCACAGGATCTTTGGTTGGCAAGGCTGCAGAGGGAGGACCTCCAGACCCCAGTCCTGCAGCTTACGGGAGGGGGCGGCTGGCAGTCAGCCTTTGATGGCAGCCAGGATGGGGAGCTGGGGCAGGGAAGCCACAGGAGGGAGCCGGCCATGCAGAGTGGGGGTGGGGAGTTGGGGGGGGGTCAGTGCCGAAGGAAGCCAGTGAGGGGTGTGAGCAAGGCCGGGGCTGATGAGGTGAAACCAGGGGGAAGGGGGTTTCAATCCCAGATGCGCACTCCAAGCTTGTGTGACTGACCCCAATAAGGCCCGGGGCAGCTTCCCGGGTGGCTGGAGAATGAGGCCCGCGTCTGTGCCACCACTGGGAAACACCGTGGGAGGCCGTTCCTCTGGCACTGGGCCCCGTGTGTGCTTTCCCCATGATAAACGGGACCGTGAGTATCGTGGCTTCTCTCCTGAGTCCTGGGAGTTGTAGGAGCGGGTCTGAGGGTCCCCTGCCCAACGGGCGCTGTAGACAGCGCGGCAGGACGGCTCTCCTAGTTCCTACGCTGCTCATCCAACCACGGGCCCGTCGTTGTGTGAAGACCCACATTAGAGTGTTTCTAGAAATTCACAGTGTAACGGGGCCTGGAGCTGGCATTCATTTTAAACACTGGCAGACGACCGAGGCAGGATAGATTACCAAACACTCACAACTAAAGTGGGTGAGAGTTGACAGCTCTTTTAATAGGCTTCCTGAAACTTCATTTTTGTCCCCAGGGCCGAACCTGCTTCCTTCCGTATGGCCCACGTCACCCCGCACAGGCCTCAGGGTGACATTTCTGTTGTGCTGTCCTGCAGCACGTGAGCTCCACCGATTGGTGCCAGCTCTGCAGGGGACACCTGCTAATGTCCCCCCTCACCTGGGAGTAACCAGCAGACTCACACACCTGTACCATCTTCCCAACACCAGATGATTCGGCGTGGCATGAGCAGGGGTTGGTCCCCTAGCAGCATGCAGTTTTCACTTTGCATTTTGGTGGGAATGTGGCCACACATCTCCTGCGGGTGTGCTTGCTTCAGGCATATGCTTCTCCCAGAAGCCAGTACGTGGGCACAGAGACCCTGGAATCTGAGGCAGCCTGGTCACCGCGAACCCAGGTGCCATGATTACTAGTTATTTCTACAGTAACCTCAAGTAGTTAGTTGTTTTCCGTGGCTGCCATCAAAATGCCTTTAGGAGCAATAACTTCAAATGATTAAATAGAGTAGTTTGTTGATCAATAAACCACCAAATTATCCAGAGTAGATGGAAGTCACAGCTGCTAATGGGAAGATGATCACATCAGAAGTGGAGGGGCCGTGGGGGAAGATCTCTCGTGTGGGTATTTGGAGAAGCTTCACCACTTGCGTGAACCAAACGATCTTTCATGTAAGGTACCCTCCGTGCCTCACAGGACATTTTCATAGGGTTGTTATAACTAAGCCAGAAATGTCTGTTATCGGCGGGGGGTCCCTTCCAAGACCCCCAGTGGACGCCTGAAAGTGCAGCGGGTCCCGACCCGTGTAGGTGCTAACTCTTCTCCTGAACACACACCTGTGACTAAGTGAAAGTGACTTGAGGCACAGGAAGGAACCAAGAGTCACCCAGAACAATCACAACAATGCGCTGCCGTGAGGTCAGATGATCGTGGCCTCCCGCTCTCCCTAGCCTGGGAGGATGTGACGTGATGATTGCCTGCGTGCGGAGATGGACGTGAGCGACGTGGGCAGGCAACACAGCACTGGGCTACTGCCCATCTTCTGAGGATGTGTCACAGGGAGGACATTCGCCTCTGACTCGCGGTTGACCGTGAGTAACCAAAACCGTGGACAAGGGTTGGGGGCGGGGGCACAACCATAGCTCAAGAAGGGACTGTTGCTCCTCATGAGTGGATGGTTCAACCCCCGTCTTCCTGACTGCAGGCAGCTTCTCTCCTTGTGTTGGCCATGGGGGAGCCAGGCTCCCTCCTGGTGTTCCCTCACCCCAACCTCTGTACCTCGCTACACCACGAGGAGCGCATGGCCTCGTCACCACACGGGGCGGGGACTGCGCGGAGCAAAGCTGCCATCTCAGGAACCCCACACCCTACACGAGGGGTGCCGCATCCCTTCTAGTGCACAGCCTCAGCTCTCCACTCTGGGGTGGCACTCAAGGGTGTCACTTCCCTGCTGGTGACCCAGCCTTACACACAGAACACAGGAAAGGATTCGTTTTCTCCACTTGGCTCACAAACATTTTTGAAAGGAATAGAGTTCTAGGAACATAAAGAAATCTTTAAAAATATTTTCAAAATATATTTTATTTCTTTCTCATATGTACTTTGCAAAATTTTCAAGGTAAACATTAGCTTCATATACAGAAATAAAGGAGAGTTCTTTAAGAACTGGCATTGACTCAATCACAAGAATGATCAAATTTTGATAATGGAAAATAAACTCGTGTATTATCAAAACCAAATGGCTTAAGTGAGGAGTTTTCTTAAGAAAGGTCTCTCCCACTGAACCCCGCGCCCCTCAGGGGACTCAAACCGTCATCATGGACACACAGACACAGGAAAATGCATGTACGTGTAGCAGCGGCTGCGCAGACTCAGAGATGGTTCTGGGGAGCGAGTGTCAACGCTCCAGGTACTTGGTGTTGTGCACGAGGACTTTCCTGGGTCCGTTCCAACGTCTGGTTCAGAATACATTTTCTTGGGAGATAAACTTGATATAAATCTCGTCACTTGCTAAACTGTCAAACTATTAACTGTATTAAATATGCAAGGAAATCACCACGTACTTTATTCTCTACATTTCTGCGCCATCATCGTCATCTTCATCATCTTTGGCTCTGAAATGCATTTTCCTGAATTCTCGCCTGCTCATCGAAGGACAAGATGAAGACGCCGGTGGAAGGTCCTTGGGGGAGGAAAACACATTTCAGGCATGGCTAGCGCACCGCACCGGTCAGCACTCGGGGTGAGGGCTTGCTCCCCCAGCCGACTTGAGAGAAGAGGATGCCCAGCAAGCCTGGGGCGGCTGCGTCCTGCCCACAGCTGAGGGGGAGCCCAGAGTCACACACCAGCCCGCAACCCGAGGGCCGAGCAAGGACGCAGAGGCCTCCCAGCAGACGCTGGTGCTCTGGCAGGATCCTCTGCTCAGGGCAGGGTGGGGCTGCTCCCAGGTAGCCGGGGTGTCGTCCCCTCGCGGGCACACGAGTCTGTCCTGAGGCAGCGCCACATGCAGGCCGTGAGTGTGCAGCCGGCGGGGGGGCACTTGTCTTACCTGCATGAGCTCCACGTTCCCAAAGAACCGGCCCACTG